CTCTACCCAGGGTGACAGAGTGAAACTGTCTCAAAAAAAAAAAAAAAAAAAGGCAGTATCTCTATGTAGAAGGAGCTGGAACATATTCTTCTTAGCAAAGTATCTCAAGAACGGAAGAAAAAATATCCAACGTACTCAGCTCCACTATGAAACCAATATATAAGCACCCACACTTTCATATGAAAGCTAGAACCCAACCACAGCCCAAGATGAAGGGGAAAGAGGACGGGGAGGGGAGGAGGGAGGATGCGTGGAGGGAAGGTAATTGGTTGGAGCACACCTATGGTGCATTTTATAAGGGTACATTTCAAATCTACTAAGTGTAGAGTATAAATGTCTTAACACAATAATTAACAAAGTGCAGTGAAGGCTATGTAACCAGTTTGATGAGAGTATTTCAAATTGTATATAAAACCAGCACATTGTATCCCATAAATGCATTAACGTACACAACTATGATTTAATAATTTTTAAAAAAAAGCACTCTTTATAGTGTACCAGTCCAGAATCTGTATCATAGGTCATATTTTTTTTTTATCTATCAATGAACAAACCAATCAATCCACCATGCACTTCAGCTTCATGGGTCACTGACGGTGGCTCTCCTTGCTCCATTAAAACAAAATCCATTCCACTTAAAAGAATGAGGAAGGAACGATAAAATCAGAACATTGCCATGGTGTAATGTCCAGTGAACAGATGATCGGTGACTAACTGACATCTCAAGCAAGCTGGGCAGACGGGAGCTGGCCAGACCTGAGCCCCCTGATAGAGGCACACAGAACCAGTGAATTTGTGCCAAGAACCCCTCCCACAAACAACAAATAAAACCCAAACCTATGTCTGATCAAGCTTCAAGATTTACCCAATTTATTAGGACTACGAAGAACAGAGGACAAAATTAAACCACCCCAAACAGCCCCAATCAGCAAAATCCCAACTGCGGGAAATTCTATAGGACCCACGATCTGGTTTCCTCAAATAAATAGCAAAAGAAAATAAAGACATAGGGAAACTTACAGATTAAAAAGAAACTTAAAATACTCAGCAACCCACCACAATGTGCAGGATGAAACAAACTGGAGATAAAAGTATTTATATTAGTGAGACAACTTGCAAACTCAACGGTGAGTGGGCACGTGATGATATAAAGGAGCGGGTTAAGGGGCGGTGCCTGTGGCTCAAGGAGTAGGGAACCAGCCCCACATGTCAGAGCTGGTGGGTTCAAACCCAGCCCTGGCCCCCCCCAAAAAAACAAACAAAAAAAACGGAGTGGGTTAAGAGGTCATGTTAAAAAAGGAGTTCTCGGCCAGGCCTGGTGGCTGTGGGAGGCCAAGATGGGAGGATCCCCTTAAGCTCAGGAGTTCAAGATTAGCCTGAGTGAGACAAGACCTCCATCTCTAATAAAAATGGAAAAAATTAACTGGTGTTGTGGTGGGCACCTGCTGTCCCAGCTACTTGGGAGACTGAGGCAAGAGGATTACTTGAGCCCAAGAGTTTGAGTTTGCTGTGAGCTAGGCTGACACTAGGGTGACACTCTGTCTCAAAAAAAAAAAAAAAAGAATAAAAAAAGAGTTCTTAACTTCTAAGAACTAAGAAGTGTATTGGAATATTCATGGACAAACTAACAGGATGTTAGGTACAAGCTTCAAAATCAGACAGAAGGAGAGGTGGATATTGTTGATGTGGACTGGGCCACCTCGCCCATGCTGGGGAGTGTCAGGTAACAGGCACACAGGGTTCATGGTACTATGCTAATCTACTTCTCTGTGTATTCCAATCTCTCTGTGATAAAAGTTCATAATAAAAGGCAGCTCAGGCCTGGTGCAGGTGGCTCAGGCCTGTAATCCTAGCACTCTGGGAGGCCGAGGCAGGTGGATGACCTTGAGCTCAGGAGTTTGAGATTAGCCTGAACAAGAGCAAGACCCCATCTCTACTAAAAATAGAAAAACTAACTGGGCATTGCGGCAGGCACCTGTAGTCCCAGCTACTCAGGAGGCTGAAGGAGGAGGATCACTTAGACCCAGGACTTTGAGGTTGCTGTGCTCTGTTACCTAGCCTGGGTAACAGAGTAAGACAAGACGAGACAAGAGAAGGGAAGAGAAGCAGCTCATAAGATTCAATTTGCCCAACAGAGTAAGACTCTGTCCAAAGAAAAGAAGAAAAGAAAGGCAGCTCCTAAGGTTCAGTTTGCCCAACAGAATGGGAGTTGGGGTTTGTTATTCCCGCTTTGGGCCTGGTCTCCAGTCTTTCTCTTGGAGAAGGGGTGAGTCTTATCACCTAAGCCATGGATTGAGTTTCCTGAAGCTAGATGCCCTGGCCTCAGGGCCTGGCAATAGTGAAAACTGGGAAATAACTGTAACTGGGTAGGTGAATTCTTGGATACACAAGAAAATCTAATCTTGGAATGCAGGTAACTCTTTCTGTATCAAAATATCTGAGTTAAAATAGAGCAAGTTTTAATATGATTTGATTTATAAAACTTAGCAACCCCATAGGATTCCATCCAATGCCCAAGGCAGGTGAAGTTGCCGGGCAGGCCCAGGAAAAATTCAGGTGCTGTTAACACCTGGCAGCTGCCAGACCTGGAGAGACAGGCAGCTGAGAACCCCGCTACTCTCTCCGGCCTTTTCCTGAATCCTCACAGCTCCCCTCCCCCTCCCATCTTTGTTGTGCCACAAACTGCAGAGCCCAGAGAACTCTGTCCCCAGGAAAAGTTTGTGCCTCAATGTGAAATTTCCTCTGACCCTCTCTGACTGCAGGGCAGGCTCCAGACTCTGCACCTCCCATAGACAGAAATGCACAGAAAGACTTGTCAGGGGCCCCTGGGGCCACCCAGCCATGCAACTGGACACATACACTTTGTAAGCACTGGTTTCCAACAGATAAATGTAATCAGGGTTTATATGCTCAGAGAAGCCAACAGGATGGGATTGTTTCACTTGAAAGATCAGAAGAAAATTGTAACTAATGTTGTGGAAAATTACTTTGATATTGCTTTCTTGGTACAGAATCACAATTAGGCCGCTGTGAGAAGTACAGGGAAGGAATAAATGAATAGTAACAAATCAACACAAACAGCCGGTGTCAGGAGCGCTTTGGAGGGAAAGTAACGTAAGCATTACTTAAAGTTTTATGACTGTGTTTGGTGTGATGTACAGACAACGTCAAGGTTGCCCGCCACCCGGCGCACAAGACCTCACTGGGTCTCCTCACCTGGGTCTGCTGCTGTGGGGGGACACTTGCCTCAGCTCATGCCATGGGAGGCCCCCTGCCAGCCTGAGGCGCTGAGCACCCCACTCTACCCCAGAGACCCCAGCCTCATCGCAGGCAGGAGTTATGGCCACCAACCAAAAAATGCCACCAGGAGTGTCCAGGCTGGCCCTGGAATATAGTACAGATGGGCCCCTGTCTCATGCCTCCTCTCCCATGCCCTTCCCAAAGAACAGAGACTCTAGACACCTGGGCCACCTGCTTACAGATGTGCCCCCAACCACATACACACCAAGATGTTTACCAAGGACAGACATTTACCAATTTATCCCAAGCAGCATCTGAGCGCCCTTCTTCCAGAGTACATTTCTGCACATAACACACAACCCGGGGACCAGCTCTCAGCCTGCCCTGACAGTGCTGTCTCGTGAAGCCCCGTGCTGCTGACGCAGAGTCACTGGCCATTTCGGGGCTCACGGGAGGCTGCAAAGTCCCCACAGAAAAGCGAGCCCAGTCACTTGCTTCTTCAGAAGCCTAGGAACAGCCACACTTACTTTTGATAGCCACCACCTGTGGGGACCAGCCCAGGAGTGAGTCAGCCCCGATGACTCGCCACTGTCTCCCGGGGGCCCACTGCCTCAGCCGCCTCCCTCTGACTCTCTGTGATGAAACATCCTCTCATTGGCCTCCCCACGCAGGGCCCCTGGTGGCCACTGCCAGCCCAGCGCCCCAGTTCTGTGCCACCTGCCTTCCCTCCTGGTGCCCAAGGGTCCTCACTTTGCACTCAGGGCCACACATCATGGGTGCCTAGCTCCTGTCTGCAGAAGCAATGGCGGGGTGGTTTGCAGAGAAAGTGTGAGCTACTGAGAGCTGAGAGTGAGCCTCACAGAGGAGGCTGCAGCCACAGGACTGAGGGCAGGTCCCTGGGCCCTGTATGCTCTGGGCTGCAGTCAGGCACGGCACAGGATGCCACGGCCTAACCTCAGGCCTCCACTGCTCTCCCGCCATCTGTGGTTCACAGATTGAGTGAGCGCATGCAGGGAGTGGAGAGTATGTGGGCACAGGGTTGGGAGAGTCTTCATGGACTCGCCCCAACAGCGGCCACTGGAGACCCCTGCTTCCTCTCGCTCCCAAGCAGGGCACTCCTTGGCCCTGTTCTGGTGACCTCCAACTCTGCAGTGTCCCTGACAACGGGAGCTGTGTCCCAGTAGCGGGACCTTGCTGAACTCCCCTCTGCACGGTCCATCTCCCCTGAGACGCGAGACCCACCCTTCCTGCTCTCTCCCCTCAGCCCATCCCACCTGTCCCCAGCAGACCCCAGAGGCCCAGGGAGCCTTCCAGCACATCGTCAGGCACAGGTGGAATAACAAGCAGCAGGTGGGGATTAATGGGGGATATTGCCTCTCAAAGCAGGAGGAACCCCGACCTCCTTTGTCCAGGCCAGAAGGGCAAGATTCAAGGGGTTTGCTGGGCTGGGTGGGAAACCAAGCCTCACTCGGGAGGCCTGGGCTCGGGGAGAAGTCCACAATCCGATGTCGCAGACAACGCTGAAAACACCTGAGCAGTGGCAGATCCTTGTTTATATCTGAGTTTCAACAAAGGCCTAAACAGGCTGAGTAGACAGGCAGCCTCCCCGTGGTCTCTAAGAGCAGGTCTGACATCAGACATGGCCTTCCCACACGGGAACCAACAACCCCCACAGGGGCCGGGCCCCCTGCTCTGCCACAGACTCGGGGCACATCCCCCCCGGCCCGGCACACCACAGCCTCATCTGGGGGCAGGCTCACCTGGTGCCTGCGGGGGGGCGAGCTCCGTGGGGTCCTGCAGGCTGATGAAGAGGAGGAGGCCTGCAGCTCCGAACAGCAGGACGGATGAGAACATGCAGGCCAGCCGCATCGTCCCGGGTCGCGGGGTCATCCGGGGCTCGCTCTGGGCTCACCTCGCAGGTGTGGGAGGCACGTTCTTCCCTCATTGTCCACACCAGGCGTCCATCAGGCTGAGATCTATGGGGCAGAGGAGCAGAGCGTCATCACTGAGTCGTGGGCCATTTGGTGGGGGAAGCCCCATCACTGCAGTGGCCCTGGAACCCTGCACCCTCTGCAAGTGACTCTGGAGTGTCCCTTTCACCCTTTAAAGCCCAGAGAGGCTGTGGCCAGGACACCAGCTTCCTGCCTGCGTCTCCTGCATCTACACCCCAAGAAAAGCCAAGACGTGACACACTTTCTGGTCCTGCCTGGGGGAGTCTGGGGGTTCCCAAGACCTATAGTGGTGAAGCAGCAGCCACCCCCTGCAGTGTCCACCTGAGCCACTGAGGGAGCACACATCGGGGTCTAGGTGCAGGGGGGGAAGCTGGGTCCTTGTCCCTGACAAGTGGCCCAGTGAACAGAGAAGCTCTCAGATCTGGCCCCACCCTGGCCCCTCACTACCAGATTCTGGAGATGTTGAGGAGGCATCCAGCCTAGAGGACATTCATGCCTAGACTAACTCCCCAAGGCCAGCCAGGGTGGACCTTACCAACACACATGTATAGGCCGGCAGGATTGAGGCCCCACTGGACAATCACACCAGCAGGACCTGAAGCTCTGGCCATGTAGGCCACAGTTGTTCCTGCCCTCCCTCAAGGCCCTTGGTGCTGCCGGTAGATAGTCGGCTCCAGCTGCTGCGGACCCAGTGTGAGCTGTTCCCTCACCCTGCATCCTCCTAAAACTGGGGAAGAATTCCTAACACCCCAGGTACCAGCCAGTGAGCCCAACTGGGCCAGGCTATGGATCACAATGGGGGCACCCCAAGGCCTTCTGCCTGAAGTCAGGGTAAGTTCTTGCAGGAGGTGGGTTGAGAGTGGGGTGCAGACAGGGTGCACAGCAGTCAAGCCACAGCAGGTATCCCAGGGACCTCCCCTGTGAAGCAGAGCCACTCTGTGCCTTCCCTTCACCTACTGCCTACTGGCCCAGGTCCCAGGAACCACCCTCTTTCCACCCAAGGAACCCTGGGGGAAGCTCCCAGCTCCCATGTGGACAGCTTCCAACAGCCTCTGAGACCATAGCTGGGTGGCCGATCAAGCCTCAGACTAGCTGCACTGCCTGGCACAAGGACGTTTCCCTGCCGGGGTTCAGGTCCTCTGTCAGGGCACCCAGCCTGGCACTGGGAGAAGAAGCCCCACTACTGTCTCCACATCCAGCCCCTGGAGCACAAGGCGCCTTCCCTGCCCAGAAAAAAATTCCCAAAGCCTGGGGGCTGCGGAGTGTAAATGCAGGCATGGGTTTCCCCCCTCTGCAGTGTCTGTAATTTTTTCACTCAGTTAACTTTAATTAACCTGCTCCAGGCCTCTCCCAACCAGAGGGCTGTGGCTGGCTCCCACAGCCTGCTGGCTTTTATGTCTGGGAGGCAGCGCTGAACGGGGATCATTTTGCCTCTGGAGCTGGCTCTGGGACTTCAGGCTGCCTCGACCTCAATGCAATGGCCCCTGCTGCTGCCTGCCGCCTGCCGCCTACGGGGGCCTGCTTGAAGAAGGTGGAAACAGGCAGCCACAGGGGCGAACCCCAAAGCCCCTCGTGTGGGGCCAGGACCAGATGGGACTGTCCTGGGGGTCTGGTTCACTGTCCTGCAAAGACACGGACGCAGCAGTATGGGCTCCAGCAGGCCAGACGCCCGAGGCCCCCTAGCCCTTCCCTCAGTAGGGACGGGACTCACTGCACGGGTCCTGGCGTAGGAGCAGCTGATGGGGGGACAGAGCTGTTCCCTCTGCACCTCAGGCTGGAAGCCCAGGCAGTTGTGGAAAGCGGTGAGATGACACGGGGGACAAGGGCGCCCAGATGGGGAGCAAGGGGGGCAGCTCAAGGCCACTCACCCACAGACACACTCGCGTGTGTACCTTGCCTAAGGACTGGAGCAAGTGTGTGTGCACTAACAAGTACACAGGGTGCCCGCTGGTGAGCACCTCTGCACACACTATCTGCCCCTCCCCTCAAGGCCCCTGCTGTGAAGACACTGCCAGGAATCCCTGAGTCCATCGGCAATGGTGCTGATGCACTCCTTGCAGCCACATCAGGTCTCCTAAGTCAGAGGTCAGTTCGAACCAGTGACCTGCAAGGCCGGGCATGGTGGCTCATACCTGCAATCTCAGCACTCTGGGAGGCTGAAGCAGACAGAGCTCAGCTGAAGCTGATCAACTGAGCTCAGGAGTTTGAGACCAGCCTGAGCAAGAGCCAGACCTTGTCTCTACTAAAATTAGAAAAATGGCCCAGGTGTGGTGATGGTGCCTGTAATCCCAGCTACTCGGGAGGCTGAAGCAGGAGGATCACTTGAGTCCATGAGTTTGAGGTTGCTGTGAGGTTGTTACGACACCAGGGCACTTTACCCAGGGTGACAGAGTGAGACTCTGCCTCAAAACAAACAAAAAAGAACCCGAGTGAGCTCTGACATCCAGACATTTTAAGGGTAGAGAGAAGAATAAAGACAGAGGAGAAGTTCATGACAGAGACAAGTTCATGACCAGCACATAAAGCTGCCTGGTAAAGGGCTAATAAAACGTCACCCCATGTCAGCCCAAAGACTATGTGGTGAACAAAGGGGACCCGGGAGCTCATGTGATCATGATCCGGTTGTTTGTTCAGGAGCTGGTGCTGCAGAGGTGGCTAGAGGAGAGCTGGTCTGTACCCACTTCTCCCCAGTCTGTCACACTGCTGCTGCCCCTGGAGCCAGCACAGACTTCCCCCAGTCAAGGACTAAACGGGTCCTGCAGCCACAACCTGTCCTCACTTGTTTCTGAACCTGCCCAGACCCACGGAGCCAGGCTCTGGCCACCTGCTTGTGCCTGGGGGCAGGGACAAAGACCACATCCTCACCTCTAAATTTGGAGGGATGAGGACACAACCCAGGACCTGCACCTCCACAGTGGCCAAGCAGCAGCTGTCCTCATTGCTCCCCAGCGTTGGCCCGAGAGAACACAGGCTCCCTCTCCACACCCTAGAAAGCCACAATTCCAGCCACATGTGGCTGTTCCTGCCCAGCCCCTAAGCCCAGACCCCAGCCTTTCCCTCTGGGCCCCTCCTCCCTGTCTTCACTCTCACTGGGAACCACCTGACCAGCTAACTCCCTGCTCTGTGCAAACAGCAACCAAGAGGTCAGCACACCTGCCCTCCTGCAAAACTGGCCCCAGGAGGGGACCAAACTCTTGGGCCAGGCAGGAACCTCCTTTCCGAAAGCTGAGGGATGGGAGGGAGGTCACTGACAGGCGACCGGACGTTCCAGAGAGTGTGCACAGCTGATACCCTATTGATTCTCTGAGGGTCCTATTCTTCAAAGTCACACGTTATTTTCAAGGCAACAGGGAGAGGCTGGTCCAAATGCTGCTTGTCTCCCTCTCCTGGGAGTCGAGCTGCTGCCCAGGGAGTGGACACCACCATCTGTCACAGGCTGGAGTCTGGCTGCTGGGGGGTGGGGGGGCAAGGCGGGGAAGGAAACACACAGGCCTCCGCTCCCACCTGGGACTGTCCCATCTTTACCACAGACTGCAGCACGCTCAGCTCCGATGACACGGGCAAAACCTTTCTCACCTCCCTGCTCCCCTCTCAAGACCAACAGACAATAAGAAGATTCGGGCTCGGCGCCTATAGCTCAACCGGCTAAGGCGCCAGCCACGTACACCTAAGGTGGCGGGTTCGAATCCCCAGCCCGGACACGCCAAACAACAATGATGGCTGCAACCAAAAAATAGCCGGGCGTTGTGGCGGGCGCCTGTGGTCCCAGCTACTTGGGAGGCAGAGGCAAGAGACTCGCTTGAGCCCAGGAGTTGGAGGTTGCTGTGAGCTGTAATGCCACGGCACTCTACCCAGGGGGACAGCTTGAGGCTCTGTCTCAAAAAAAAAAAAAAAAAGAAGAAGATTCGAATTACGGGGAGGCAGAGCAGGGGAGGGTTATAGAAAGAAAAATAAGCATCCTCCATGGAGTTTCCAGCCGCTGCTGCCCATCTCCCAGTTCCTAGTCCTCTTGGAGCTTCCCTCCCCGAGGCCTGAATGGCGTCACCAATTTTTACTTTAAGAAAAAAAAAAGATCCAATTAATCTTAAAAACACCTCTTGGGACACAGGGCAGGGCCGAGGATTGCTCCTATTTCCTTATTTATTTGATTTAAAAATGTGTCTCTTTGGAGAAATTCACTTCAGGATACAAGCAAGGACTTGGGAATTCAGCCAAAACACACGCACCTCTAGTGGAGTCGGGCCGGCAGGCAGATGGACGGACGGACAGCTCCAAGGACATGCTTGGCTGCGGCTGCTCCCCGGCCTGGATGTCAGCCCAGAGGGTCCCCTCTGGCTGGGGGGACCCACCCCCGCACCCTGCTCCAGACAGCATGGGTGCACCCACGTGGTCAGCAGACCCCTGCCCGGGAAAGTTCCCTGTCCGGTCAGTCTCCTCTTCTTACGGGCAGGCGCGAACAATGACGTCCCTCCCGGCTGAGGGCTCCAGGAGAAGCTGCTCGTTGGGGAGAGAGGCTGCTATGGCAACTTGAGTAGAATGGAGCCAGGCATTGCCGTCACCTTGAATCCGGCACCATGCCTTCTGCTGCGGTGGCGACAGAGGGGACCCGGCACCCGGTTCTCCCCGCTCTGCGCCAGGCACTGGCGCCTGACCCCCGGCTTCTGTCCTCAGCCTCCTGGCCTCAGGAACTCATCTGCTCCTGGCCAGCCCACAGCCCGGTCCCCCGAGAGTGCCACTTCCATCTGTTTTGTCAAGACTAGCTCCTCCATGTGTGTGGCTCCTGCTTACTTCAGAGACGGGGCTCTTCTTGATTTCAGCTCATTAAAATCCTGCAGCTAATTAAAACTGCTCTAATGGCAGCGGTGGCGGCAGCAAACTCTGGGACGAGTCCCTCCAGTCTTCAGGCGCAGGCATAAA